TTATTTTTTATTTTTTTTTTTTATATTTTAAACAATCTATCCTCAATCATCTCCAATTCTTCTCCAATGCTCCACCCGTAACTCCAACAATATCATTGTTATGAGATTATAAAAGAAAGAACATAATAAGGCTCAACGGGGGAACTAGAGGAATTATTTCACAAAACGATAAAGTAAAGGAAATACAAACAATGCCTCAATCATATTCATATCGCATAAATCCACCCGCTTCATTTCAGAGTAGTCTCAAGGCAAATTCCGACAAACAACAATTTCGACCAATATCTCACAAGAAAAATTAAGGCTCAAACCTCACTTTAGGTAAATAAATGTCTGACAAAACGACCAATCCAGTTCACCAAGATAAGCTAGTCATGTTCATCATCATATCTTCTCAACTTTATCAACAATCATCAACCCATCTCAAAATCTACCAAAGTCCATACTCGGAAAACACACAACTGACTCCACATAAGACACCACACAAGAGCAGAAAATCAAAACAACCTAAAAAAAACTAGACATGATCAACCACATAGTCACGTAAACACGTAAAACTCCCCCACACTTAAACCAGACAATGTCCCCATTGTCGAATCTTAGTGTAAGAGAGCTATACCATATAATTAACCGACTAAAAAAAATAAACTATACAACATAAAAGAGGAAGGGAAAGAAAAACATACTGAGCACAGTGACAAGTCACTGTGCGTCCGACGGTCCTGAGGAAAATGACTAATGCCGGGGTTGCCACCTGTACTGGTGCGACTCCCAGGTATCCCAGCGGTTGTCATGAGCTGTCCAATGGGCGTTGTTATCTTGTACGAACTCATTCCATCTCCTGGTTTGTTCTTCCCAACGCTCGTCATTGGTCTTAAGGAATGACTGCCAACGGGCCTCATTTTGCTCCGTATATGCCCGCCAACGCTCATCGTCCATCGCATTCCGCGATGATATATCTGCTTGCAATGATCGGAGGTAGGCCATGAGCTCCGGATTGTCCTGTGGAGGTGGAAGAGTGGAAGGGTCCAGTGGTGACGTTGGGTTGTATTCGTCGGTCGGAGCAATGTGATCGTCAGCTCCCAAATGTTGTTCGGTAGTGTCGTCTGTGGGAAGTTGAGATGGATCTCCGGTTGGCTGTTGAGAAGTACCTTCTTGTGCTGCCTTTTTCGTTGCCGCTCGTTCTTTCAACTCCCCGAGATACTTGCGATAACACTTGCGTTCAGTGACAATCGTGATTCGGGATAATGATTTATCAACAAGCTCGGCATGTCGAAGATCGGACCACTTGATCTCGGAAGGTCCAATAGCATCATCAGGATCGAGAGTAACTTTAAAGTGGACTGTCAGTTCGGTGGCCACGTGTCCCAAGGTGATATGGCTCAGTTTTTTCTGTCGTGTATCAAGAAGAGCTTGCTTGAAGAAATGAAGGAGGCAGAAATTACGCTGTTCAATCATACTCCATAAAATAAAAAGTTCTTGAGCGCTTACCTTGTTGGCCTCTGTGTTCCCGAAAATATTAAAAGAGATGAACTTATGCACGATTGCAACTGGGACTTCAGTGATTAGCCCCGCCGAAGGACCGGAAGCCTTGAAAAATTTGCATGGAGACAATTTAGCCCAAGGTCTCGTAGGTTTGAGATTGTCGGGCTTGACGCGTGGCCCCGTTGTCCTGAACCCGAATATCTCACAAAGAAGCAAATCAGTTATCTTGATCTTTTGGCCATTTAAGCGGCACGTGAGATAATTGTCTTCGTCTGCCCCTCGATCGTACTGAAAAATTCGAGCGCCAATGTCCGGTAAGAAATCAATTGTGGGTCACTCGCATACTTCTCCAAGTGAAGAGTCTTGAAGTGAGCTCGAACGGCTTCGTCAATTCCAAGTTTTTGTAATACACCCTAGTCGAGCACTCGGGATCGCGGAAATGGCCTCTTCACTAACCGTTTATACGCAGCCACTTCATTCTCAGTAAATACCGAAAATGGAATACCA